TGTGCTGCTGCTGCTTCCTCTCTTTCTTATTAACTGTTATTAAGGATCCAGGTATCCATCCGCAGCTAACACAGGACCTGATTATACACTGCAATAGTAGGCAGCAACCATTACCAATTGCTACTTCTGCTGCTGCTGCTGCAGCAGCAGCAGCAACAGCAACAGCAAGAACAACACCTACTGCTGCAGCAGCACATAACGATTCCCGTCATAGCACTCGTGCTCACAAACATGCAGCAGCACGACGAGCAGCAAGGAGCAAACACAATGCTGCTGCTGCTGCTGCTGCTGCTGCAACAGCTGCAACAGCTGCAACAGCTGCAACAGCAGCAACAGCAGCAACAGACATTGAATTGTGTGACTTGTCTCCAGCTGCAACAGACAATGCCAACGAACAGCAGCAGCAGGAGCAGCAGCAGCAACAGCAGCAACAGCAGCAGCAGCAGCAGCAGCAGCAGCAAAAGGATTTGAATAAGGACCATTTTGCTGTCAGTAGCAGTTCATCGGATGCTCCTGCAGCAGATGCAGCAGCAGATGCAGCAGCAGCAGGAACAGATGCAGCAGCAGCAGATGCAGCAGCAGATGCAGCATCAATGGATAAAGAAGAGGATAATACTGGTAGAATTGTATTGGTGCAGCAGCAGCAGCAGCACACAGCAAATCGCAGCAGCAGCATAGACAGCTGGGAGACGGAGAGTGAGCGAACTCTACGTACAACAAGCAGCAACAGCAGCAGCAGCAGCAGCAGCAGTATAATGAGCAGCAACAGCAGCAGCAGCAATGATAGTGACTACAGCAGCAGCAGGAGACCTCATTATACACCGCAAAGTGGTCGTATACGTCGTCATCATATCCGTTCATTACGCCACCACCGTCTGCTGCTGCAGCAGCAACAGCAGCAGCAGCAGCAGCAACAGCAGCAGCAGCAGCAGCAGCAGCAAAACCATAACTATATGCGCAACAATACCCATGAGACCCATCGTCTGAATGAGGGTAACGAGATAGAGCTGATGCAGCAGCAGCAACAGCAGCAGCAACAGCAGCAGCAGCAGCAAGAAGAACAAGAAGAAGAATATGAATTATGTGAATTATGTGGTATATGGTGCGAATTATTATTAAATAAATATAATCATTGTATTGATTGTGGTGTATGTATATCTTATTTAGATCATCATTGTCCATGGACATCCAAGTGTATAGGCAGCAAAAATATTTATTTCTTTTATTTATGGTTATTTTCTTCTTTTTCTTTTCTTCTTTTTTATTCCTTCTATGGATTTATATATCATTATCATACACATAAAGATATTGTACAATGGTAAGTTCTTCCTGCTCTTGTTGCTGTTGTTGTTGCTGCTGCTGCTGCTGCTGCTGCTGCTGATGGTGGTGGTGGTCGTGGTGTTGTGCTGCTGTTGCTGCTGCTGCTGCTGCTGTTTGGGGTATTTGCTGTTGACTATTGAGCAACTGGCATTCATTAGTTTTGCTGCTGTTTCTCCCCAGCTGCTGCTGTTGATACTTTTGCTGCTATAGCTGCTGCTGTATCTGTTGCTGCTGTATCTGTTGCTGCTGTGTCTGTTGATGCTGCTTCTTTTGCTGCATCTGCTGCTGCATCTGCTGCTGCTGCTTCTTTTGCTGCTGCAGGGACAAAGCCTAAGCTGCAACTTAAGTGTCACCTCCGATGGTAGACTGCAGCGAAACAGGCTGCTGCTGCTGCTGCTGCTGCTGCTGCTGCAGCGCAGCAGCAGCAAAAGCACAACGTTAACAACAATATAGCAATAGAAGCTTTTTAAGGTTGTTTGTGTCTCATGCTGCTGCTGCTGCACCCGTTGGAACAGCAGCAGCTGCAGCAGCAGCAGCAACAACAACAGCAGCAGCAGCAGCTTCTGCTCCTGCTGCTGCTCCTGCTGCTGCTCCTGCTGCAATTGAGTTTGCAGCATTGAGCGATGTAAATGAATATTTGTACAGAAATATATGTATGTTTTCTTGTCGTTAGAGCAGTAACAGCAGCAGCAGCAGCAGCAGCAGCAGCAGCAACAGCAACAGCAACAGCAGCAGCAGCAACAATAAAATATACAATAACAACATGTTAGTGGCATCCTTTCCTTGTGGGATGTTTGCTGCTTCTTCTCTAGTGTAGCAGCAACTGCAGCAGCAGCAGCTATTGCTGCTGCTGCTGCTTTAGTAGATGCTGCTTTTCCTGCTGCTGCTGCTGCTGCAGCAACTGCAGCAACTGCAGCAACTGCAGCAAAGTGTCTTTTTGTCTGCTCATACAATATTTTCTTGTAGAAACAAAGCCACAGCCACACACTCCCCACTCTGCTGCTGCCCGCAGCAGCAGCAGCAGCAGCAACAGCAGCAGCAGCAACAGCAATAGTAGGTGTAGGACGATAGGCAGAGAAGCTAAACCCTAAACCCTAAACCCTCGTTGATGGATGTGTGAATATTTGGCTAAGACAATTTTTTTTTTTTTTTTTTTTTTTTTTTTTTTTTTTTTTTTTTA